TGATCTTCACACGCCATCTTTCGTCCTTTTGGGTTGCTTGGCAACCTCGGATCTTCTCGTTAGCCTCATATGTTAGCCGCTTTTTGTGGCGTTTAAAGTAGTTGAACTTGAAAGAAATTTAACTGCGTACTGTTGGTTGAGACTGCTCCAGGGCAGAACGGCTTGGACTACATCTGGTGTTTCCTTGGAAGCAGTAGCCGCTGTTTCTGTTCACAGACTCCTCGCCCTAACTCTTCATTTACGATACGAGACTTTAGGCACTGTTCCATGAGTACTTCAAGTCACTGTCCTTTTCTGGATCATGTCTATGATATTAAACTTTGTTTTAACATTTTGGATGACCAATGTATGACTTTAGTAGTGGTGTCTGAGGAGAATTGGAGGTTTTGGGGGGGCAGCAAAAGGGCAGCAAAATTTAATACATAGCTCACGAATAAAATGCGCGGGTAACTTGTTTAATTTATGCTAAGGGACTTGTCAGAAATTAGCAGGGGGGGAGGGGGGGTGGAAATTTTAAATTTGGGCTCGGAAATGAGGTGACGCATCCCTGCAAGGGGAGTGAAATTTGCTAACCCTCCCCTTGACCTTGGCCTAAAATATCATGACCCTCCCCCTCTTGTATAAATGATAAAATCTAGTTCTTGCAATACTTTAGGGTGGGTCAGTATTATGAAAGCTCAAAATATATTTCTAATCTGTTCTTTGTAATGCCATATACATAGATTTTAGATGACAGCATTAAGAGTCCGACTCTGATTCGATTCTGACAGCTGATCACTGGACTCTCTTATTTCTCCCAGGATTTTTTTACAAAATAAAGAACTTCTCTTTTTTCTGTGGGTGAACCTCTACGTGATCACGGACACATATTTGCATGACCCTCCCCCTTTTAACGGCCCATTTTTCATGACCCCTCCCTTTTCTGCAGTCTCAAAAAGTTGTGACCCTCCCTCTGTTTCCACCCCCCTCCCCCTCTGCTAATTACTGACAAGTCCCTAACCATGTTCAGGCAGGTACTAGTAATGATGTCACAGCACCATAAGGTCCATTTGACGGTTTAGCAAACCCATTAGAAACGGCTAATGTCTTCTATTTAGGGCTAAAAATCGGATATATATAAACAAAACACACACGCATACACAAAGTGGAGCTGAAACCTCTTTATCTCAATTTTGTCTGACTATTACAAAACCGTTTTCTCCTTTCTAACTCAAGGAAACGACTTACTATTGAAGTCTCAGCGTTTCACGCGCCGTTAGTCAGTTAATTATGCGAGTTAACAAGCCTACATTTGCATACATATTAGTTCAGCTCAGTAATAACCGTATAAAAACACACAAAAAAAACGATTAATAACTTAACAAGGATCATGCAATTAAAACACGCAACTAATCAATAAACACTCCCAATAAAACCAGACACGTTTCTTATAAGACACAAGAAGTCAACTTTATGACCCTTCATTAAAATAATTGCAAAAAACATGAGATTAAATATTCTATTAAAATAGTCAAAAAAGGCAAGCTATGTTTTTTTTTACACTGCGCACAATGTTTTACTTACCCCTCACCCTTCCATTTTTTTATTCCCTCCTCCAAAACTTTATTATGTTCTCTCCTCCTCCACCACCTCATTTATTCCATATCTTTTTCCATCCACAAAAAAATCGATCTCATATCGACCCTACATTGACCCTAGACTCAACTTTTTTTTTTTCAACACAGTTTCGTGAATAGTGAAACTATATACAACCACCACCGGTGGTGATGGTGGTAGTGGTGGTGGTGGAGGGAAACAATAGAAATGTGGTGGTGGTTTTATACATGACATACAGCTACGAAAGCGACGTATGTAATCTGTTACTTTAGAAACTATGTGAACGTATCAACCAAAGAATCCGCACATTTTTTTTATTTTGCCTGTTTACAACTTATTTCGAAGGGGATAGACTGGAAATCTTTGTTGCTAGAAATATCTGTATGTCGTAACTCTTCATTAGCCGGTACGATGTTTAAAATGTGTGGAATTAATTCCAGATTTAGTTTCGACCCCGTAGAACATTTAAAGAGAAGCCACCCAACCTTCAGGGCGGATCGAGCGCAGAGCTCTCAAACGTCTCCTTTGTGAAAAAAGAGAACAAACGCAGTCTGTGCTTTTGAGAGTGCGCGTGTTGCCTTGACTCTTCTCAGAGCAGGAAAGGCTGCTTTATCTGCACGCGATGCCACACCCTCGTTCACCCACTAAGCAAAGATAAATTAGCCGATTTAAAGAGACTTATAAAAGGAAAGAGAAGACGCAGCATAACGCAATTTTGGCAGTGTAGAGCTGGTGAGAAAATGACTGAAAGAAATCACACACTTAATTTTAAAGCAAAGATAATTAACCGAGTATAAGAGACTTAAAAAGATGACAAGAAGAAACACGCAATGTTCTTTAAAAATATATAAGAACGAAAGACATCAGTTAATATTAAAATAAAGGCTGAGGAACTGACAAACATTTTAAACTTTTTTTCATATTTCATATTTTATTTTTAATTAATTAATTAATTTTTCATTTCATTTATTTTATTCAAATCAAACTGTTAAAAGTTACAGAATGTACATAATTAAGTATAATAAATAATTAGCAAGGGAAGGGACGAAGTGCAGTTTACAACACATCTAACACTTTTTACCATATAATGGCCTGGCTGTATATTAATTAACTAAATTCCTTTTACAGAATTCGGCCAACAATGTTGTTTTATTATTTCATACCTCCAAGAAGTTCTCGAGAAAGGATTGTTAACAAAATATTTCGTAAATGGATTGACTTAGAGGGGGCCAATTTGCGTATGCGTGCCAAAATTTGGTTTACGCAGAAAAAAGGAAAGAACGGTTTTCCTTATTAAAAGCTTCACTTTTTTATTATGAAACCAGCTGTCTCTCTTCGATGTCATATTCAGCCAATTACAATCGTCCCAGTGGGTGACAAGACCTTATATCTTCTATAAGTTGTAGATCGTGTGAATTTTGAGATTCAATTTTAAAAAAGACAATGGCAGCATATTACTTAATAAGTGTGCCAATTTTTCAGACAGACGAAATTTATTTATTATTGATTAAGTTTAGGCTATTTAATTGCTTCTGCTGAGAATGAAACTGTCATGATTGTATCATGTCATTTGTTCCTGATTATAACGAGCATTCAAAGACTGCCGTCAGAAGTCACGCTTAGTTAAAAGAACTGCCACTTGAAAAAGCTTTAAGAGCTCGGTTGAATAGTAGAGTTAACAAACCCGGACTCGGCTGCAGACAGAGGACAGCTCTAGCTAGCCATGATACAGATGCCTTTCTTGCGAGAAAAGACTTTGAGAAGCCTGACTCGGTTGAAAAAGGAAAGAGTTACTTGAAAAAAATCCTGGCTCGGTCGAGGAATAGAGTGAACGAAGCTTGGCTCATCAGACACCAACAAATCATAGAAAACCTGTTTCATTTTTGAAGAAAAGTAGATCAACCTGACTCTCGCCGACTCAAAACAAACAGTGATAGCTCCTTCAAGCCAACACAGTCTGAAATAACTTCCCTCAGTCATGAACAAAACTGGAAAAGCCTGTTTATTACTTAGTGACATCAGCTTCGACAAGGTGGAAGAACTTTTCGTAACAAACATTCTAACTTGTATCCTTAACTTATCGTTCGGTTTCGTAACATTTGTGGCCAACTCTACAATTCTTCTGGCGATTAAAAACACCTGCGATCTTCACACGCCATCTTTCGTTCTTTTGGGTTCCTTGGCAGCCACGGATCTTCTCGTTGGCCTCGTATGTCAGCCGCTTTTTGTGGCGTTTAAGATAGCCGAACTTGAAAGAAATTTAAATGCGTACTGTTGGTTAAGATTGCTCCAGAGCAGAACGGCTTGGACTACATCTGGCGTTTCTTTCTTGACAGTAGCCGCTGTTTCTGTTGACAGACTCCTCGCTCTAACTCTTCATTTACGATACGACACTTTAGTCACTGTTCCACGAGTACTTCAAGTCACTTTCCTTTTCTGGATCTTGTCCATGATATTAAACGTTGTTCTAACATTTTGGATGACCAATGTATGGCTTTTCTTCCCCATGGTCATCTTTTTTCTTACATTTATTGTCATCACGATAAGTACTTTGAAAATTTTCCGGACTGTGCTTAGACACCAACGTCAGATAAATGACCAAAACGCTGCTGTCAGCCATCTTCAAAACAACACCGTTAACGTACTGAAATGTAGAAAATCAGCAGTTACTGTGCTCTATGTTTATGGCTTGTTTGTGATATGCTTTGTCCCCTACATTGCAACAAGCATCATAGAAGTACTTCTTGGATCCACAACGAAAGTGCTCATCGCTTATGATCTCTGTGAGACAGCTATTTATATTAACTCCTTTTTAAATCCAATCGTGTACTGCTTGAGAATAAGGAAGATGCGACGAGCTGTGAAGAATATCCTAAAACGACAGTAGGAACCTTAGGCTGTTAGGCAACGACAACGGTGACACTTTGCACGAGACAGTCTTATAGAACTCAGATCAAGAAAAATATGCCAACATTTGAAGAAGAAGAAGAACCTTTATTAATTTATACCGCTCAGGGTAGCCCCTTCAGACGCAAAAAGCTGTCTGTTATCAGTGGGAGCCCTGAGCAACAACGCACAAAAACACACTAAACATATAAACATTACACTAATACAAGTAATAATATAAATAGAAAACTATTTTCAATTAAAAGATTAAAAGATGTAAAACACGAAATATCATTAAGATAATTCGTTAAAAAGAGTGCAACCACAATAATAGAAGGATCTTTTTTGCAATTTCACTTCTCGCAGCAGGCGGATGTAAGAGGTTGTTTTGTCTAGTAGCGCGCGCATGGATTGTATTATTACGTTTAAAATATTGTTTAAAATACTGGGGACATTGACCTTGCAGGCATTTCTTAACGAGTTTAAAAACAGATTGACGGCGGCGCCCCTCCAAGGTGGGCCATTTCAGAACGTCCAATGCCTGCTTGCTGCGCACAGTACAAGCCATTATCATAGCAGCCCGGTTTTGGAGGGCTTCAAGGTCTTGTTTACGACCTTTCCCGAAACAGCCCCACACACTTACACAGTATTCTAAAATTGGCCTAATTAGACTACAATACACGAATTGACGAATTGGAAAATTGGTTGTTTTAAATCGCACAAATGTTGGTCACCCGTTAACATACTTAAAAATGATGAATGCTTCTAGGAAAAATATTTCACTGATATTTGCTGCAACTATGTAAATATTTGGCACTACATTAAAAGTATATAAATACTGGGCGAGTACTTAGTGTAGCTTCGGAACCTTTCCAGCGATCATTTTAATTTCTGCCTGAGAAAAGGGCATTTATTTTTTTTTTTTCAGAAGATGAGACTACACGCATTCATTTACCATAAGAATTGTTTTATGCAGTGTTCAAGGACAATAAAGGTTTTCAATGTTAGTGTTAGTACTAAGAATTGCAATTCACTATGTTCAATGGTCTACAATGCGTACCAGTGAAAATAAATTTTAGTAATTTATGCATTAGGTTCGGCACATGAGAAGTTCAACGTTTGAAACGAAGTGGCTCCGTCGAAGTTCCCATGTGGGCCACTCGATCTTAATTCATGGGTAGACCCAAGTTAGACACGTCGGACTTAATAATTAAAACACCGATCTCTTCATGTACTTAATTGAAGGGATTAGGTTCGGTACATGAAAAGTTCGACGTTTAAACTGGGCCTTAATTTGCGTGAATGATGCATGGCCTCAATATGGAGCACCAAGTGTAACAAATCGATCGTGAGATCAACTTAGCTGGATGCTGGTCAGCTTCATCCTTTGCGTTTTCATGGACCAAGACGAAGTCGAGGTCAATAAACATGCGACGGTGAAAGCTTTGTCAATACGAATTCATTATACGACCAAATTAAGAGTGCAGACCAACGCGGGAAATCCCGATAGGGAAAGATGGGCTTATCTTGCCCACTTGGGTAACCAATCAGAACATGGTATTAGCTTTATCTTTCCTGCTTGTGGATAAAAAATCATAAAATTTGAGATGGTAAATCCCCAAAGAGGCGCTGCCTAGCACTGAGTTGGCTATAATCATCAAGGGTCCAGGACTCTTGTAGACTAAGTACATTAGACGGACATTCAAGACACACCGCCAAGAACTTAACAAAAATGGCAAATGATTGAAAAGGGATCTTGTTAATCCTTATGAGGTACCGGTATATCTCAAGCTACTCCTCCTCTAGAGCAGGTGAGGGGGGAGAGGGTGGGGCAGTGGTGAGAGCACTCCCATCAAAGTAGCCTAGGTTCGAAACCCGGTGTCGACGCCAGATGTGGGTTGAGTTTGTTATTCGTTCTCTCCTTTCCTCCAAGTACTCCGTTTTCCCAATCTCTCCTCAAAAACCAACATTTTCAAATTCCAATTTCGACAAGGTATAATAGACGAAGAACTGTGTGCATGTGCTACCCCTAAATCGTCCTTTACTTATTTATGCACTAATTGATTTGTTTACGTTTTTGTGAAATGTAAATGCAAACGTTTATGTAAATATCTTCTTACCCCATCCCCTAAGGGCTTTTGTTATAATCTAAAAGGATGGTTAAAGTACGTTCTATGACTTCGGTATACGGTAAATAAATGAAATATCGTCATAACATTTTATTTGCGAAGGTATTTTGAAGTTACTTTTACAACTAATTTAGCAAATTCAATTATTTATACCGTGATAATATAAATTATCATGTCCATTCGTCAAAAAAGGATCGAAACTGCAGTAGCGGACAATGCTTAGAAACAGAAACCTGAGAAGATGCAAATTTAATCTAAGAAGTTCCTTTAGTGAGCTTTGAACATAATTCAGAAACTGTTGATGATAGCTTCACCTTGTTGGAGGAACAGAGAATTTTTTCCGATCATGAAGACCATGAACAAAACTGAGACAACTTGCTTCAGCTTTTCTTTTGACAATACGAGAGAAGTTTTCATAACAAATATTCTAACCTGCATCCTCAATGTAATGTTCAGTATCATAACATGTGTGGGCAACTCTACGATTCTTCTTGCGATTAAAAATACACGAGATCTTCACACGCCAGCTTACGTCCTTCTAGGCTGCCTGGCTTTTTCTGATCTTCTCGTTGGCCTCATATGTCAGCCACTTTTCGTGGGAGTCAAGATAGCTGAGTTTGAAAAGAGCTTTACTACGTATTGTTGGTTAAGAATGCTTCAGACCAGATCAGCTTGGACAACAGCAAGCGTTTCTTTTTTTACAATAGCTGTAGTGTCCGTTGACCGACTAATCGCTTTACAGCTGCACTTGCGATACAGCGCATTTGTCACCGTTTCTCGGGTTTTGCAAGCCACTCTGGTTATTTGGATCTTGTCCGTTATATTGAATGTCGTGCTAAGGTTTTGGATGATGACCGACGAATGGTTTTTCATCCCGTTGGTCATTTTTGTTGTTGTATTCCTGGTTCTAACCGTTAGTACCATGAAGATATTTCAGATGGTTCGAAGACACCAGCGCCAGATAAAAAGACAAACTGAGGCCGTGAGCCATCTTCGATCGAACACAGTGAACGTCTTAAAATGCAGGAAATCAGCAGTCACTGTACTTTATATCTACGCCTTGTTTGTGATATGTTATGTCCCTTTTTTTGGAACGCTGATCACAGAGATGTTCCATCGATATACAATCAAGGAACAAATCGCTTATGATTTCTCTACGACTGTTATTTTCGTCAACTCCTTTATAAATCCGGTAGTATACTGCTGGAGAATTCGGGAGATAAAAAAAGCTGTAAAGAACATTCTAAGGGGGTGGGGTGGGGGACGGAATGAATAATATAATACCCCTACTCTGGCAAGCCCAAATGATTTCCCTGATGCCAATATGAGGGAGCAAAGGTGGGGATGGGTATGGTGAGCAATATTGGCGCACTATTGAGAGCACCCCCCTGGAATGTGGTCCAGGTTCAGATCCAGGCGTCGACGCCATTTGTGGGTTAAGTTTGTTGCTGTTAGTCTTCCTTGCACCGAGAGGTTTTTCTCCGGGTGATCCGGTTTTCCCCTCTCCTCAAATCCAACACTTTCAAATCCCAGTCGATCTGGAGCGTACTGTTGGGAAAGGAATAGGTGATGCTTAACTTTCTTATTTTTGAATATTAATTAGAAATTGACATTTGTAGCGCAAAGAAGTTAGATTTCGTGACATTAGATTTTACAATAAAGTAGACAAAGTCCGAGTATATTTACAATAAAAATGATGTAACTGCATGCATTTTCTTAGGCTAAATAAGGTGAAAGAACGTGCGATGTTGTAAGAGTCACTTAGTTTAGATACATTACAATGGGAACATTTACTGCACATCTGATCAATGTAAAAGTACTGCCTTAAGCAGGGATAGTAGAAAAAAAACCTCTGTCTTACTTAGAATGTGTTAGTTGATAGTTGATCGTAGAGTTAAGTCGATATTTGATCGTTGATCGTTGTGTTACGACCGTTGAATATGTGAGAATTGTACATCGCAGTAGATTGTTGGATTGGATTAAATCGTGCTGTTACATCGAAAGATACAGTCCTCTTGATTTGTTTCAACCAGTGAGCGGGGTTAAAAGAATTCCGCAACACGTACGTACACATTGAAATGAGTTCTCACTAGAACTCCTAAGTTCTTTGTGGGAACAAATTACAATTAGAAAAATTTACAATGTGACATCAGGCTCCTTACAAGTAGTTATTCATCCTGGCTAGCGCGAGGAGGTTATTTCTGTTTCTATCGGCCAGAGGAATAGAGTCTTCATACTTTGACAAATGACTTGAAAGTGATTCAAAGTTGGATCTTCTGTTTCCTTTGCATAAAGAGACGAATACTATACATAGTACCCAACTGTATACACAAGTGGTTCATCTGATTTCCGAACAAAGAGAAGTAATATGTGAAACACAAGAGGGAGTGTTCCATCTGATGTCCAAACACGGAGAAGTAATACATCACACACGAGAAGGAGTGTTTCATCTGATATCTAAACACCCAAAAAGCATATCCAAAAAGAGAGAAGCAATATATTAACACGAGAAAAGTGTTTCATCTGATATATCCAAGACACCTAGAAGTAATATGTCAAACACGAGAGGGAGTGTTTCATCTGCTGATATCCAAACACCTAGTAGTAATATATCAAACACGAGAGAGAGTGTTTCATCTGATATCTAAACACCCGAAAAGCATATCTAAAAAGCAAGAAGCAATATGTTAAACACGAGAAAACTGTTTCATATGATATATCCAAGACACCTAGAAGTAATATATCAAAAACGATTAGGAGTGTTTCATTTGACATCGAAACACCGAGAAGTAATATATTAAACACCAAAAAAAGTGTTTTATCCGATAGCCAAACACCGACAAGTGTATATCAAACACGACTGTTTGGCCCTACCATGAATACAAGAACGTGGAACAAACTGTTGAGCCAAATTTTCAGGGTTTAAATTATAAACACATTATAAATACCATTGCAGCATTGTTGAAAAAGAGCCGGTCCTTAACAGTGAGCTAATTAAAAGATAAGGTGGTCAAATTTCCTAGGTCCTAATAGTTTATACATTGTTTGATTAAGCTCCACGTCAATAAGTTAAGAATTATTCCAGCATTTTAGAAGCATTTTGCAGTGATCTTTTTCTCTGAAAAAAAAAAAGAATAGAAACATTGTTTAAGAAAACTCGAAAGAAAGGTTAAATTACACTTTAATGCCTCGGTGTATAGGATCATTTTTTGCTGCATTGAAACTGTTAATGAGTATATACCAGATTGAAAAACATTTTGTCGTTTGAAAAGTATAAACCATAAACGATGAGACTAAATGGATTTATGGGTAGAATTATATTAGCGTTGCAAATTTAGAGTTCTTTCTGGAACAGCTTATATTATCTTGAGCTTCTTGTGCGGATGCCAATCCCAGGAATACTTATCTTAACCCTTCCGGTAAACTTTTATGGCTCATCTTACGATTTTCAAGTTTTTTCTTGGTCATGAAGCAACTCTCTTTCACTAGCGACATCCCTGAAGAAACATTTGCTAAATGCTGAAGTCGTCGGCTTATCAGCAAGAACACTGGATCCTTTTAATCTAATTTTACCTTGTTGAAATGCATTGGTGTGAGAATCGTGTGATAGTTTAAGCCGCGAACTCTTAATTTTCAATGCTAATAAACTTCTACCTATAAATACATTTAATAGGTCTCATAAACTCATTGTTTATNAATGCTGAAGTCGTCGGCTTATCAGCAAGAACACTGGATCCTTTTAATCTAATTTTACCTTGTTGAAATGCATTGGTGTGAGAATCGTGTGATAGTTTAAGCCGCGAACTCTTAATTTTCAATGCTAATAAACTTCTACCTATAAATACATTTAATAGGTCTCATAAACTCATTGTTTATAATTTGCAATGGACAGAGTTTTTTCAAACAGGTGTATACAATGTTGCCATACCACTTAATATATACTGTTTTGTTAGCCTCAAACCCTCTCAAATTGTTGAATTAAAACAAATAAGCCTCTTTATCATAAGACAAATCCGACATAAAGTTTTGATGACTCTTTTGGGGGTTTAACAAGCATTCTAATGCGAAGAATGGAGCATTAAGATTGAGCATTTTAAGAGAAAACAAAAACAGAAGGTGAAAAAAGCTTTTAAAATTATTTAGGAGAGCCCATTAGTCATTTGTCAGCGGGTGTGCTTACCAATAATTACACGAAACATGCAGTTGAAAACGTTGGGTTGAAAAGGCAATCTTAGACGCTTTTAAGAGTCAAGTTGTGCACAAACACCGCACAGAATAACATAAGAACACCGCAAACGGCATTGACATTACCCGGAAATTTCTAAATACCGCAAACTGCTTGATTTTCTAAAACCGCACTACCGCAAATAAAAATAAAAATTTTTCGAAAAACCGCACTAAAAATCGAGCAAAACCGCATCACTGCAAACCCTTACGCACTCCTCGGTGCTTAATCTCACCACCAGAATGATTTTAAGCAAGGGAGCTTTTTCAACTTGACATTTTCTGAATATTCCAAGAAACCAATCTCATAATAATTCACAATGTATTTTTCTGTGACGTCATCACCTCTTTATGCGGAAAAAGATATACTTTACAGGGTGGAGTGATACTTCTCTTGTCAAAAGTTTTAGAGGGTATAAAATTCAAGTCACAGGTGGCCATATTGAACCTTGAAAGCGTGGGATTAAGTTGAGCCTATTAGAAGGTGCGTATTAAAGAATATGCAGAGAAAGCATTGACAAAAGGGTTATCATGTTTTATTAATGCTAACTGGTGTGAACATTTGGCTTCATTGGTGTTTATAATTAATAACTTATAAGACTTCACACAGCTTTAAACACTGCAGTTTAGACGCAACGATTTGTGAAATTTCGCGCAGTCGACGTTGCTAGTTTCGTTCAGTTTGTGGATAAATGGAATTCTCACCAAAGTCGAATGAACAAACTCAAACTTTCCCGTGCTTCTTCTTTAGCGAGATCAACTTGGACAAAACGGACGAAGGAGTTTTTACAGCAAATTTCTTAACGTGTATCATAAACGTGCTGTTTTCTGTGATAACATGTACTGGGAATCTGTTAGTCCTTCTTGCAATTGGAAAAACGCGATGTCTCCACACGCCATCTTACGTCCTTCTGGGTTGCCTGGCAGCTTCTGATCTTCTTGTTGGCCTGATATGCCAGCCATTGTTCGTGGCTTCAAAAATAGCCGAGCTTATGAATAATTTTAGTCTGCATTGTACGTTGAGAATGCTCTTGTCTACATCAAGTTGGATAACATCAGGTGCATCTTTAGCCACTATGGTTATCGTGTCGGTGGACCGCCTTCTTGTTTTAACACTTCATCTACGATACAACAGTTTTGTCACGGTTCCACGTATTTTTCAAACCGTTTTGTGTGTCTGGATCTGTTCTATAACCTTTGCATTATTGAGATTTCCTTTGAGAAATAGATGGTATTTTATTATGATTGCAACCTTTCTTCTTGGTTTTCTTGTTTTGTCGATCAGCACCTACAAAATATTTCACATCGTCCGACGGCACCAACGTCAGATAAGAGATCAAAACATGGCCTTTCGCCCAGCTGAACTAAACACAGTGAATGTCTTCAAATGTAGAAGATCTGCCGTGACGGTAATTTATGTTTACGGCCTTTCGATGATACTCTGTATACCTCATTTTGTAACAATAATTGTCGCAACTCTTAATGGCTACTCGACAACAATACAGATTGCTTACACGTATGTATATACTGTTATTTACATCAACTCTTTTTTGAATCCATTTGTGTACTGCTGGAGAAATAGGGAAATCAGAAGAGCTGTGAAGAATATCATAAGAAGGGAACCATATGATTAAGAAGTATCCCCAGGAGCATCCAACGACGTTTTTCTGTGAAATAACTGTGGGAAGACACAAGGAAGGAGGAAATGTTGCCTAGAAAATCTGAAGAACGGTGACTGGACGTTTCGCCTATGATACGTTTCCCAAACGTCCCTTTCGCGAACGTCTTATGTCGTTCCATTAAGAAGCGAATCGAGCGCTGTGCATGTAAATGCTTCGTTCTCTCAGCCATGATACAAAAACGCAACTTTCGTCGAATTTTCGACCGGACCCATAAAGGTCGAAAACGTTTTCTGATCAGAAGAAAAATATGCACCTAAACTTTCGAGACGACGAAAGTTCACCTAAGACGTCCAAACATAAATAATTTTTACGGCAGCTTCAAATATACCTAACAGGCCTCTAAATCATAGAGAAAACCATTCGAGACAC